CAACATGGGCAGATTCTCTGGAGGGGGAGGTTGTTTAAGGAGCTCACAGGTGAGCTGTGCTGCAGTGGCTCTGCTTTAATCAGCCTGGGAGAGCAGCTCAGATGGGCCAGGAATGTTCTGCAGGCTCCTGTAGCACTCTCTGAGCTCTGCAGCAAAAGCAGGAACCTGCCACAGCTTTTGCACACCTGAGTTCATCCATCTCCATCACTGCTGAGCTGGCTGCAGCTCAGGGATGTGAGAACTGCTCTGCCCTCTCTGAAACCCAACCCCTGCAAGGGAGCTCCTCCCAGCACAGAAAATCCAGGTGTAAAACCACAGCATGAAGCACAAAGTCATTTAACAACGAGTCATCAAAAACGTCTCTGATCAATTAAAAAAAAATCACAGAAGTATTTCTGAGAGGCTGAGTAACCTCCAGAGCAAGAAATAACACTTGTAGCTGTGAAAAGAACTAAGTGAACAGGGATTGTAAATGAGAGAACTTTATTCATAATAATGTCATAGGAGGAATGAGTAGAAGAATAATATTACTCTATCAAATATCTTTTGTGTCTAAATCCCTATGAAAAAACTTAAGAAGGCAATTGAAAAATATTTACAATGAGACAGAGGAACTGGAGGTTTTAGCACGGTGTCAAACTTATGATGTGATTGATGTTCAGAGTTGAAGGAATAATTCACATTTCTTAAATTCTAAATAATATTTGAATTTTACAGTAGTATATCTCAAAAAGAAAAAAAAAAAAAAAAACAAAAGACTGAGAGTAATATCTGGGATTTTTATGGGTTTTTTTTTTTTTTTTAATGTAAGAACAGCAGACTTATAGGTGAGGCAGCTTTATTTCAATTTTGGGAAAAACAGCCAATCAAACGTACTCCTGCTTTTTCTTTCCACTTTTCCTACTCTGATCCCCAAGCAAATGTCTCAATGAAGTGCCCAGATGTACAACTCCAATCAGTGGAAGATAATTAAAACTTGGGGAAAGTTTTCCTGCACTTCTGCTTCCCCCTCCAACCCCATGGCCAGCCCCGTGTGCTGCTTGGCTTTAATTGCAGAAATCTCCATATTTTGCTCCTCATGCCTCAGGTTTGCTGCTCTGCAGCTCCTGTGATTTGTTTTGAAGTAAACTCTGCTATTGATACATTATTAAGAGGGAGAGGGGTTAGCAGAGCCTTGGAGTGAGGTTTTTCCAGGGGTTGTAATTCCTTCAGCAGAAGGCAGGTTCTGTTTGATTCCACATTCTCTGCACAGGAATATTTTGCAGGCTGAATTTCCAAGTACTCTCCAGTACCTGAGCTGACTTATGTGCCCATAATGAAAGTTCTGCTTGCATCAAGAGAAAGCCATATCCTGCTATCCCTGGTGTCATATTTTGCCCTCTCTTTTGGGGGAAAAAGGGAAATAATGTTGTTCCAGTATTAAACATTTCCAGTTACAGCTTTGTCCCGAGCAGACACAGCCTGGCAGGATCCCACCCAAAGTTCCTTTGGTCAGCAGGGAGAAATCCCAGAGAGTTGGGAAATATTTGAACTTTAAATGTGAGTTCAATGCCTGTGAGTGAAATTTGGAAGAGTTTTGCTGCTTCTTGTCATTTTAGCTTCAACCTTTGACAGCCTTGTTGTGTGGAC